AAAATAAAATAAAATAAAATAAAATAAAATAAAATAAAATAAAATAAAATAAAATAAAATAAAATAAGCTCCACAAGAAAACAAACAAACAAAAATGAAACAAGATTACATTTGAATCCTGATTTCTTTTTAAACAATGATTTCTAGGCAGCTTGGTACAAATTAACTGATCATCTACTATTTCCACCATTTGTGGAACAGATATTAACAACACACGTACTATTCTGAGGCAGTGATATGAGATTTCATGTCTTGAGCTATGAAAATATAAATCAACAACAGTTTCAATAACACTTTCATGTTTCTTAATTAGTAGTGACCACAGTAACACAGTTTTGATGTCACAGACTGATTTTCTGTAAACCTTCATTAAAAAACTGGGGACCTCTATCATCGGACATAACAACAGACAGGACTTCTGTTTTGATGTGGTTTAAAGAAAAACAAAATAAAACAAAACCAAAATGAATCAAAGAAATGTGACACAGGTCAAATTTCATGTGGCGTTCCGCTTAGGGAGAACACTGATTTCAAAAAGGGCTTTACTTGATTTAAAAGGGCTTTACTTGATTTTAAAGGGCTTTACTCAGGATTTTAAGTTTTAAAACAGAGGAAAAAAAGAAAGTCCTATATAGCAGAACATCTATTGTAATGGTCTCCTCTTTCTTAGGAGGCTGCCATGAAGGGATGGCACCTCTGTCAATTGTTTTACAAGTTCAAGTCAAAAAAAGAATAATGAAGCATGATATTTTCTGGTGATCATCCCAGTGAGGCAATAATAAGGGACCGGTGCACTATGGTGGAACTTCATGCCCAGTGTTGGAGAGCCAGGAAAACATAGCCAGAATTTTGTCCTTGGGGAAGGACTTCTAAAAACTAAGCTACACCAAAAAAGGGGGGAGATAAGTTACCTCTGCTGTGCACAGAAAGTTGCAATGTATAGAGAATGGAAAAGACTTTAGAAGTATGTTCATAATATGAAGTTTCTCAGGGATTTTTCCTTATTGTGTATTGAGCTTTCCCTCCTAGTCATATGAGGCTCTACTTCTTTGCACATCCTTACATGATATTTCTACCGGATAAATTATCTGAAGTATTTTCCTCATTTGGTTTTCAGAATTTGATGAAATGAGTAAGAGAGAGAGGGCTTGAAACAATTAGAATATTTCAGTTGGAAGGGTCCTACAAAGATCACCAAGTCCAACTGCCTGACCTCTTCAGGGCTAATCAAAAATTAAAATTTATTAATACAGGAATTGTACAAATGCCTCTTGAACTCTGGCAGGCACAGAACATCAACCACCTTGCTATGAAGCTTGTGCTTCCCAGGGTGTTTGACCATTCCTATGAGAAGTAATTTTCTCCTCATATCTAGTGTGAATCTTCACTGGTGAAGTTTTGTGCCATCCACTCACTTTCTATCATGATTTAACAGGAAGCAGAGCCTGGTACCTCCATTTCCCATGCTTAAGGCACTACAGGCCACCTCTCAGCCTCCTTTTCACCAGACTGGATAGCTCAAGTGTTTTCATCCTGTTCATGAAAGACATGTCTTCCAGCCCTTTTATTATCCTTGTTACCCTTTTCTGGACGCTTTCAAGGACCTTAAGTTCCTTTTCACAGTGTGTAGCCCAGAGCTCCACCAGGGGTGAGACTGCACCAATGCTAAATATAGTGGGACAACCACATTTTTCTGGCCAGATGACTGTGCTGTGTTTAAAAGACCTCAAAATATAGTTTGTTCCCTTGGCTGTTCATGCTGAACTGCTCTTACCATCACTCACTCACTGCCCGGTTGGTCTCCTTCTGCTCATTTCTGAGTCTGTATCAGTGTTCTCTAACTCTGTTCAGTACTACTCCATCCCAGGTGCAGTACTTGGCATCTCCCTTTGTTGACCTTCATGTCATTAATGATTGCCCAATATTCCAAATTCTCTAGATCCCTCAACAAGGCCTCTCATCTCTCCAGAAACTCAACAGCACCTCCCAGTGTAAATATCATCAGCAAAACTGCTGAGGTTGCATTCCACTCCTGCATCCAGATCATCAATAAAAATGTTGAACAGAACATACTCTAGGATTGAGTTCTGGGAAACATCACTAATGACAGCCAGCCAGATGTAGCCCTGTACACTTCAACACTTGGAGTTCAACTGTTGAGCCAGATCATCACATAACATAGCATGAATCTTTCTACCTCACAGCTAGACAATGTCTCCAGAATATGAGGGACAGTATAAAAGGCCTTACTGAATTCCAGGAAGATTACACCTACTGCCTTCCTTTCCCTCTAAGTGAGTGTATTCATTGTGGAAGGATATCAAACTACTAAGGCAGGACTTAGTCACCCCTGGTGACTACTAGGTTTGATAATAGTTTTATTCTTTAAATGCCTTTCAATAACTGCCAGGATAATATCCTTAACTTTCCAGGGACTGAGGTTAGACTGAAAGATCTGACGTTTCCTGAATCTTCTCTCATGCTCTTTGTAGACAGATATAACATTGGCAAGATTTCAATCAGCAAGATTCTCCTCAGATAACCAAGATTTTCGGTAAATTGTTGAGAATCCACCTATAACATTCTCTACCTCTTTCGGTATTATTTCAGTACTCTGGAATTAATGTTAGGCCCCATGGATCTCACTGGATCCTCCAATCTGAATTTCTGCCCTGCTTGCTTGATTTGTAATGCAATGAGATTGCCTGCCTGCTCCTGTGGTTTTAAAAGGTGTTTCTTAAAAAGGATCAGCTCTCATAACCAACTCAAAGCTCCTAAAGCTGTCTGAGTAGCTGAAAGTTTGTTCTCTTAAAATCCAGGTTGGCAACCTTTTCCTTATACCAGAAATTTTGAACTCAACTATTTTATAATAACAGCCTCCCATCATCACATCTCCCACAAGACAATTTCTATTCTCAAACAACAGGTCTAGGAGGACGTCTTTTCTAGTTTGCTTAGTAAGTACTTGTGGCACGAAGAAGGAAGTTATCTTCAATATGTTTTAGGAATTTTCCAGCCTGTGCAGCTGTATGGTATCTTTGGTTTATGTCTGGGAAGTTGAAATCTCCCATAACGGTGAGAGCAACCACGCCCAAGATTTCCCCTAACTGCCTACAGAATAATTCATCCATGAAATCTTCCTGGGTCAGTGTTGGTAGTAGATATCCACAATGAAATCTGCTTTGCTATTGCTCCCCCTAAACCCTCACCCAGAGGCTCTCTACTACATCACCCTTAACAGCTGTTGTAGGCGACAAACAGCAATGGCTATACAGTCTAATCTCTCCCTTATGTACAGTGAAACACTTCCACGTTACCTGCCCTGCCTGTCCCTCCTGAACAGCTGATAACCCTCCATTCCAGTACTCCAGTCATGGGATTCAATTCACCAAGTTTCACTAATACCATTGCTATCATAGCTCTGGAAAAAGATCAAAGGTTCCAGTTCTTCCCATTTGTTCCTCATACTGTGTGTGCTAGTATAAAGATATTTCAGATACGCTCCTAACAACAACTGTTACTAAACTACTTATTGATCCTTACAAACTTGCTTCTCTTCTTCTTGTTACATCAGTAATCAAAAAAAAGCTTTGGGAAGATCTGTAGGCTGTAGCTAAGCAGACTGCATAAGTTAATTAAGCAAGCTTATTGTCAATAGGCTTATATTTTATATGGGGATGGGGTGGGGGAAGTCCATTTCTTCACTGCAAAAGTTTAATATCTGTGAATCAAAAAACAAAGCAGAAGTTTGAAGACTTATGCCTTTAGACACATTAGGATGCTAATGACACTATTATTGAAGTTAGTAAAAAATAACATCAGTGTGAAACTAAAACTGTTTTTATATGTCTAGCTTCAGGTATGAATCTATACACAGTAACAGCAGAACTGCTGAGTAAATGCATGAATTTTCTTTTAGATTAGAAGCTAAGATTTGCTTTAACAGTATTCTTTGAATTTAATTCTAAAGTTGTTAAACCAAATAATAACAACAAAAAACAACCAACTGAATTGGAGATAAAATTAATTCCTAGTTATCAAAGCATGAAAGAAAGTGCATATATATCACAAAATTTTATGGGAGTACATATTTTAGTACACAGAGGTGCCTTCCTGAAAGTATATTTTGATTACTGTTTACCAGGAAAGAAATGTATATATTCAAACATAAAAGGAAAACTTGTCTTAAATTTTCCTAGGACTTATCAACAGCATCAAGCTGGTAGCTTTGTTCATAATTGAGTGAATACCAAAAGGAACACACATTATGATTCCTTATGAGAAATTATATTGTAAGGAAAAAAAAAAAAAAGTCCAGGACTGATCTGAAGAAATAATGTATGAAATCAGAGAATTAGATACACATATCTTACCGTTAAAATAAATATAACTAATGAGAAGAAGTTCAGTAAGTGGATCAAGGTTATTTATGAGGTCCTTGATTTTCCCATTGGTTCTTTCTGCTACATAACCATTGATCTTCGTCTGGGCTTGATCAGACCTCTTGAAGTTCATAGGATAAATTTCACCTTCATAGAATTCTCTGAGGTTATTCAAAAATCTTTGTTGCGGTTTCAGTCGATCAAGTACAAACAGGACATTTCCCATATTAAGCTGTAAGCCCTCATTCTTTCTGTTTACCATTTGTATGAGTTGACGATAACCTTCATGGATTTCATTTTCAGAAATCTCACGTGGATTAAAGTGAAGGACCCTAAGAATCTGTGCCAAAGTATCAGACCTGGCACCAAGAGTCAGCATTGCAAAGGCAGTAGAGATGCTCAAAGGAGAGAAGAAAATATTTCCACTGTTTTCATGAGAAGAAATCTCTTTGTAGAAACAACAAGCAAACTGACAAACACGGATCCCTACAGCCCGCTGTGGCATGTTTCGGTTTTCTTTTCCTCTTTGATTTTGGTTTCTTACAACTTGGTGATAAGGCTCATAGGGATAAATGTTGGAATGAATCCCAACAACTAAAAGGCAGAGGAACAATAACAGCTTCATGTTTCTATAAATCTGTAAAAGAAGAAAATAAAAATGAAATCTGTCTTACAAATTTTTTTACCTCATGCTTTTCAATAAATCTGTCCTTTCACTGTACAGGTCTGGCTTGGTACCAGTTACTCCAAGCCATTTTAATTCAAATGATATCAGCTTTCTATTTCAAGGAAGTAGGTTTTGAAAAATTACTCAATCCACTGAAGAAGTTATGAAACAATGAAAATTAAAATCAAAGCAAAGCAATATGAAAGGCACCCTCATTAAAGTTAGGCTACTTTTCCTTTGGAACAGTTTTATTTCCAGCATTCTATTTTTAATGTGATTTTAAGTGTTAAAAGTCCTTTAAGTCATAAGCACAGTTCTCCAGAACAGAGGATAAGGGAGCCGTCAGTGCTGGTTAATTACAGTTAGCATGATGAAAAATTCAAAGTAAAGGAAACACGTAGTGTTCCTCCATTGTGACAATTAATGTTACACGTAATTTTAAATGGGCTGTGGGTAAACATATAAGCAGACACCAGAGAGAAAGTAAATGAGTTAGTTAATGAGGAAGTGATGAGCATTTTCTGTGATTCCTTAAAGCTTGACTAATTAAGCACTATTTTAAAAAAAAAAACTGCCACACATCTTTAAGCAATTACAGATTTATCAAGACCATGGAAATACAGTGTTGTTCATTAAAAAAGGAAGTGTGCCTACAGCATGCAAAGGTTTAGATAAATGACCAAACCAAATCGCCTAAAAATCAGAAACAAACAAAAATTAGAGAAACAGGAGAACAATTTGAAAACAATCTTGACTTTACAATCAAAAATACAGTGAAAGGTGACTTCAGCACAGAAGGATGCAATGGCAAAAAGCAAAGATGAATGAGTGAACTCCAGAGGAATAATACTAAAACATATCCATAGAATAGGAAAGCCTTTTTCAAAGTAGTGCATAAAAACCATCCATTCACTTCTGCATACTATGAAGTTCAGAAACAAATCTTAATGGCACTGCACAAGGTTCAATGACTTTTTTTGAGAGAAGAAAGTAAAGACATGGAACGAAACTGGAAATCAAAAGCATCTTCCTGTGGCATATTACTACTTTACCTACAAAATCATTAATAAAATAAAGAACTCCCCAGAGAAAAATACAAAGAATTCCGAGGGTGAAACATAAGTTAAGTGTCTGATTTGGAAAGAGAAATAGTACTTAGGCTTTCATATCTTATAAAATCATGATGCCCTGTTGAATTTTTATCCAACCATGATCTTTCATTTGTGTTCTCCACATTCTCATATACCTTGTTTCTCCAAAATTCGGCGAACTTAGAATGCTGATCTCCACTACAGTGTATGTTACATTCTTTGAATATTGTGGTTACAGCAATGGTACTATTGCTAGGAAGGACAAGAACCCCATGCCAAAACACTTTTGGTCATCATTCACTTTTATGCCTAGAACACATTTAAAACAGTACTTTTTGATTTGTTAGTGACTTGCTCTACTGTCACTCATACTCCTTTAACTCTATCTTTAGTACTTTTTTTCTGAATTCTCTAGAAACTTTAGAGAGCAAAACATAAATCTCTACTTTTATATTATTTCATGCACATCATTTGTTATTTATCACCTTTTTGCTTCATTGAACTCTAAAACTTTTCAATGTGCAGTCTTTTTAAAGAGGGAAATGCTATACAAATGAGCTCTCATAGAGGACTAATCTTACATATTTAAAAATAAAGTAATACAACAATACAAAAAGTTTAAATTGCAGTCTGATTGAGAACAATATAATTTCTCAATTGATTAATCAGAAATTGTTGTAATATTTGACAGTTCTTCCACAGCAAAAAGATGCATGACTTACAGTACAGTCAAAAGGGTCTCCTGTAGTGTTCACCAGGTCTGCACAGGTCCTTGCTCAGTTGTTTATGCTGCTGAACACAGTGCAGGGTATCCTCTAGCAAAGGTTAAGATCATCTAAGGGCTATGACTCACACATTATAATTTTAGAGATTAGGCAGAGCAAACAATGTTGAAACTAGTTTTACTGGACACCTAACTTTGCTGAATATATGTCTCACATGTGACATTTTATTATTCATGAATATGTGATTGCTCTGGTTAGATTCAAAACTGTTCTCCTCAAACTGAACTTACTGATTTTTCTTATCACAACACATTTCAACTGCCAAAAATCTTTTTTTTTTCTCTAATCAAGAGAATCAACAGAAATAATTACAGTTAAAGGTCTTGAGCATCATTTCCAATTACTATAGCATTGCTGCCACAAGGACTAGACTTAATGCCCTGGAATAATCCATCTTTCGGTGAATTAGCCTGATTGTTTGTATCCTGCAAATCCATGTCGGGGCATGATTCTCCCCAGACAAACTCAGTGATGATTCTAAAAGATGCAGAGCTTAAAACACTGTTTTGCTACTTCTGCAAATGCAGCCATAGGTGTATCCGACAATCCACTCCCACATGGAGAAAGCACTGGCAGCATGACCTGCTATGGCAACTCCAGGGCCACTCACACAGCTGTGTGCCCAAACACAAAGAATGTGGCCGGGATGCTATTATACATAGATGATCCCAGGTACAAGTATGGCCTGGGGACAGGGGGCGGAAGCCTAAGAACGTGGGTGTTAAATAGAACAAGTCTTTAGACCAGCTTACTATCTTGGTATCTGGTTTGCAGGTAGCAGGCCCCTCTGATCATGTGCCAAAATCATCTGTGTTAGATCAGACAGCCTAGCACACTGAGCTCAGCCCTATTCACTACAGTGAACCACTGTCATTGCTGTGGCAAGTTGGTGGGAACAGTGACAGCAGTGTTGAACAGGGAATATCCATAGATCATGTAGTGTAATCTCTTGCTCAAAGCAGGACCAGCTGTAGCAGTTTGCTCAGGACTGTCTTAACTATGATAAAGACAGCACAATCTCTCTGAGCAACCTTTTTCAGAGTTTGACCAGGTTTTCTCACAAATTTAGGTGGAATTCATTTTATCTTAATTTGTGCTCAATGCTCCTTGTCCTGTCACGGAGAAGAGGGTAGTGTTTTCTTTGCTCCTCCCATCACAAATCAAGTATTTATTAGATGGCCTTTTCTTCTCTGAGCTTAACAATTCCAGCACTCTCAGTTTCACCATATACGTCAGATCACTTTTCTTACCCACTACTAGAGCAATACCAGTGTACTCATGTTCTTGTACTGGAGCCCAGCACTAGATACAGCACTCCAGATGTGTGTTCCATGAATGAGTAGAAGGAAAGCATCATCCACGTTGACCCACTAGTGATAATCTCCTTCATGAAGCCAAGTCAAGATACTCTTGACCTTCTTTGTGAAAAGTGCTCATTGGTGGCTCATGCTCAGCTTGGTATCTGCCAGAAACACCAAACCCTCAAACGCAGTATCTCATGTCTCCATTTCAAGAATTGGGATAATGTTTGTTCTCTATTTCCCTTTAAAATGCACACATTTTAGGAGAGGGAAGAACTTTACACAAAAATAGGTGGAGTTCTGATCTCAGTGTTCCATCTCCAAGCACCATTGAAATACTAACCACAACAATAGCTCTGTAATATTTTCTGGCAGGCAAAAATGCAAACAGTGAAAGTTGTTGATGATTACAACCTATCAAGCAACTCAGCAGATTGCAAAAAAAAAAAAAAAAAAAAAAAAAAAAAAAGAAAAAGAAAAAAGAAAAAACCCACCTCTTAAGCATATTGCTTATGAAGTCAATCTTGAGAAATAAAATGCTTCGTGGTTGTATACTGGACTCACAAATAATGTGTTCTTTAGGCATAACATTCACTTGAAAGAGTATTTGGGATATCATTTTTACTGTTCCTTGTGTAAGAGCCAGGAAACTCACTTAGAACTAACTTTTAATAATGGGCTACAACTTTCATAGTGTATGAAAGGTGATTTCTGATGAAGAAAGGAAGGAAGCCTAATTAAATACAGACGCCATGCTAATGACAAGGTGATGGATGAATGACTAAGCTAGATCTGCACACACCTACACCACACCTCAGGACACTTGTAAGGAGAAAGCCTGGCAGTGAACAGGGAAAAGTCTGCCCTACAATTGGAAAGAAGACAGAGAAAATTGATGCCGAATCAGTGTACATGAAAAATGGGAATCTCTTGCTACTAGCATAAAAGAAAATCCAAACACTTTTCGTGTTTTTCTAGAGTGAAGCCATCAGAGTCCTTCATGTGAAAAGAGGGGTAGCAGTTTCTGACTCAGTCGTACAATGCACATGATGAAAAACTTCAACTATAAACAACTAGTTAAATTATAATTATAAGTAGAATACTGATTTATAAAGAATTCAGCCATTTTGAAAACTGGATATTCCAGAGTAACACGGAATATTTTGAAGATACAATGTTAATAGTGAAAGAGGAGATTCCCTCAACTATACTAGGAGCTTTTCAAAAAGTTCTCAAACAAACTGGCACTGAATTGCTCATACGTGATTAAGTTCCAGATGGCAGTACTTAGTATATCTGTTTTGAACAAAGACAGTAAAATCAAGGGGCTTATTTACTCGGATTTCCTCTCTCTACAATACCCAGTAACCACTGGTAGGAAGAGTAGGGAATTCTACTCCATAAACTAGGCCACAAAGCCTCTTTAACTTTGCTAAACCGCAGATACCAGGTGTGTACATACATTCAAAGTGATGGAAAAATGTCTTAATTTGTTGTCCATTGAAACTAAAGCACTTTTTCATAATGATAATTAAAAAGGGAGGCAACAG